AGACGAGCCGACTTCAGCCTCCGCACAGCCCCGGCCGGGCTCGCTCCGCTCCAGCCTGCGCTCCCCGGATGGGTGCCCATAAGGACGGGACCGCCGATGGGATGCGTGACCCTAAACTTGGTGCCTGGGCGCCCCCAGGATGGGTCTGCCCGTGCCTGGCTGAGGTGGCACAGGATGGGAGAGTTGCTCGGGGATGCTCATGGGCAGACTGCAGGCAGCTCAGTGTTTAGACTCGCTGTCTGTGGACATAAACACCGACTGCGCTTAAAAGTGGCCCTTGGCTGAACCCTCCTGCCCAGTCCCTGTGCTTCGCCCCCTCCCCAGACTGGTCCTGGAGAAGAAAATTCCTTTCCCCTTGGTGAAAGTGGGGCTGAGGTTGTTTTGTCTCCTGGTAAAGCTCAGAAGAGCTTGCAAACCCATGGAGCAGCACCAGGTTTGCTCACCCCAAGGTCTGCAGAGCACCAGTGTGCTTCTGTCTGTGAAAGGGGGTGATGGCTTCTAGCTGGAGAGTCCAGGCAGCGGTGAGATTTGGGGGCATCTTTCACTATTTCTTGCCCAGGGGCACAAGACGTGTGTGCAGAGGGATGAGTGTTGCTTTATACCCCCATCGCATCGCTCGCCCACGGTAAAAACCTGCTTTTCTATTGCCTGAGGTTTCTCATTGGCTTCACTGAGCAGTTACTGATATGGAAAGGCTGCAAGTGGGAAAGATGTGCTCAGGTGGGTAAGAAAAGCCACCTACCTGCTGCTTGGATGGCACAGGGAGAGCAGAGAGCTCCCCTGCTTGCAGGGAGGAGTGGGATGCAGGAGCACAACCGTCTGCTCCCTTCTGATGGGCGACTGCTCCAGTCCATCCTTTGGCACAGCCCGCAGAGGTCGTTTTCAAGAGCCTTTGTCTAATTTAATAAATCCAGGATGCTGAGCCTGTTAGACGATCTATAAGTGTAATAAAATCTGCCTGCTCGCTCTATCGATAGCCATGTGCCGAGTGGCAGGAAGCCTAAAACGCTCATTAAGGCCCTGCTGCGGTGCCAGCCCCGCTCACCCGGCGCCTGGGCAGCCTGGGGCGTGCAGAGTGCATCCCCAGCTGGGATTTAGGGAGGCCGTGCATCACCTTTCAAGGATTAAAAGGGATGGGGCAGTGGAGTCTTGCTCCCTCCCATGCATCCCACCCTGAGGACCATGGTCAGCCGAGCCCGAGCACCAGCGATGGGTGAAGCTTTTAGCAACCACGGCTGCTGCCTTTGCAGGGTACCCAGGAGTGCTGCGAAGGAGCAGCGCGCTCAGCAGCCATCCTCATGAATATTTCAGCTGGGAGAATTAACATTTGTCAAGAAGTGTTTATGGAGGCAGAGGGGATGTCTCTTCCCCAGGCACTGAGAGCCAAGGCAGAGCCATCCAGAGCCCGAGCCCTTCCTGTGCAGCGTTGCAGGACGGCAGAGCTGTGATCTACCCCCCCCCTCCAGGACAGCCGGGCCCCGGTGCCAAGGCAACCAGCCCGCCATGCGAGATAGACAAACGGTTGTGGGTTTTCTTTCTCTCTCTTCCCCTCCTGGTTCTTGGCAGAAAGTAAAATGTCCCTTTTGTTTAGTTTCCTCCTCCTCTTCCTCCCCGCCCCGTCCCATCGCCTTTCTTGAAAGGTTGTGTTCCAGATTTCATCAACCCACGTTGTGTAATAGCCCTGGAGAACGGCGTGGGCCTTGGCCGTGTCCCACTGAGGCCGTGGCAGAGCTGCTCGGGTTGACGGCGGGGTTACCTGCTCAGAAAACAGCTTGTGTGCAGTTGCTGGGTGAATCTCTTGTATTTCAGATCAAGCCCCTATGATGCCCATGTGTTAGAAATGATGGGGAAGGTAAATTGGTAAATTTTTGAGTCTAAATAATCCTGTATTTCTGCCTCAGCCCTGCAGATCCTTATGGAAATGAGGGACTCTGGCAGATAAACCCCATTGACTTATAGTGCTTGGGAGTTCAGCACCCCTAGAGCATCCAGCCCTGGGCATCCTCCTGGCACAGTGCCTGGGTCCCCCCAGTGGTTTGGGGATATCTCAGTTTCTGGGCTCTGCACCCTAAGAGCACCCACCCACAGGTCCCTGCATCTCGTCCTGAGGCTGCTGGGGTTGTGGATGAGGAGGACATGGTGTGATTCTCCTCGGGGAGAGGAGGAGGAGGGGAGTGTCCTATGGGCTTTGTGTGGTGTGGAGAGGGACGCTGCGAGCACGTGTGTGTGTAAACACGGCTCTGTCATAGCAGAGGGAAACAGCAACGCGATTGTTTCTTGGCTGCGGTTCCTCTGCTGGTGCTGGCAGCGGGGAGAGCTGGAGCTGCGCATATGGTGTGGGTGCTGCCTTCCCTGCGGTGCGTGACAGGGGCTGCTCTGCTTGCTGGGGTGACCGATGGCACTGAGGAGAGATGCTGCTGCTGGTGGTGCCCATAATGATGTCCTGAGCTGGAGCTGATCCTGAGCATCCACTCCGGCCTCACCTGGACATGAAACCTCCTCATGGCCCTGGGGTTCGACCTTGTATCAGAGCATCTGCTCTTCAAAGGGCTGGTTGACGTCCCAGCCTTGTTATTATTTTGGTGTCTCTGCCGTGTAAAACCTCCCTGGTTTTGCATTTATTTATTCCCTTCCAGCTGTGGGAGCCACGCGTCCTCACCTGGCCTGGGACCAGCTCTGCTCTGGTTCCCTGGGGCCAGCAGCCATGCACCATCGCCAGCTCATCCCATGGGGATGCCCAGCCAGTTTTGGGGTGCTGCTGGGGTGCAGCGCTGCCCGAGCCCCGTCCTTTTCCTCAATGGATTTTGCATCCAGGTGCACAAGTTTCCACCTGGCACCGTTTGCATTTTGCTTTGCTTCAAAACACCCGCGCTGCCTCTGAGGAGGGAAACAAATGGTGGAAAAGAATTCACATCCCAAGCAAGCGAGGCTGCTGGTCCATCGGGTTTCATCTGACCTGAGAGGTGTTGGGGTGCAGAGGGGCTGCTGTGGGGTGCAGGGTTTGTCCCTGTTGCTGCAGGTGCAGGGGGGGACAGCACCAGCTTTGCTCACAGCAATCTCCTGGTGTCCCAGCACGATGGTGGATGAGGACCCATGTGTCAGGCTGTGCAAGACGCTGATGTTCACCCTTGCCAAGAGGAGTGCGTGGCAAAACCACTTCACAGGGCCGGCCTGGTGGCGTGGGGGGCCCCAAACCGGCTCAGCTGCTCTGGATACGCTTGGATTGGGGCTGAGTGTGAGCAATGGGGGAAGCTGCCCTCAACGCTGCCGTGGGGCTCAAGAGGGAGGAGAGCAGGCGCCAGCTCCCTGCCAAATCCCCGGGGAGTCGAGGGATGCCTGTGGGAAGAGAGACCAAGTGGCCTGGGGTCCCTGCAAGGGATTGGGGGGTCCCTCCTGGAGCCGCCCTTGGCCCCTTTGTCCCCATCCTGCTTGCATTCCCTGCACAAAAATACTGCGGGTGGGGAAGGGGCTCAGACACAGAGGTTGTGGTGCTGGAGGCCTTGGCTGTGCTGAAGCCCAGCGAGACACAAACGTTTTTAAGACTCCACTTGGAGCAGGAGAAAGTTTTTCCGTTGGGTTTTTATAGCTCCCGGAAAGCGGGGTTTTATTTTTGTTGTCTAAGACAAAAAAATCCTCTTAGGAGCTGACTTCCCGTGGCTGTACGGGGCGGGCGGCCGTGCGTGCCGGGGCTCTGGGCTCAGCTTTGCTTTCCCTCCCTCCATCCTGTGGGGTCTGTGGATGCTGATGCTGGTTTCCACGAAGGAGGAGG